GAATGCTTGGCGCAGTGCTCTTCTTTCCTCAGCCAGGCGGCCCGAGGCCACCCCACGCTGCCTGCGCTGGCCAGCGAGCCAGCGCGGGCGCTGCGCAGACCTGCCGTGCTCGCCGAGCCCGTCTGAGCCATTCGCCGAGAAGGTGCCCCCATCTTCGTCTTATCGCGGACCGAACAGCCCCCCCAGACCTGGATGTGAATGCGGCTTCCTTTTAAAATCTGTGAGATGTGAATCCAGCATGGCATTGCACCACAAGGCACCAGGGTGGCATTGTACTATCCCTTGCGCAGGCGCGAAAACGGAAACGACGACGAGGACGACAAGGACGACGAACACGACGTGAGACTTACCCGGCCCCGAGACGCCGTGTTTGAGTCTCCGAAGTGGGGCCTGAATTGACCCCCCCCCCTCTTTTCGAGCCACGAGGGCCAAGAGGCCTCCCCAGACCCCTCCAATGAGCCCCAAGAGGGCCCCAAGACCCCGCAGAAACGAGCCCCAAGAGGGCCCCAAGAGTGCTCAAAGAGGCCCCACGGGGACCCTAAGCCAGCCCCTAAGATGGCTTACTCGTCATTCAAGAACCTCTCACAGCAACACATCTCCAAAGTCCGACTTCTCATCATCCTTGTCATCGTGTTTTCCTTCCCTCCTCCTTTCCTGCATCCTTCCTCCTCCACCTCCTCCTCCTCGTCCTCCTCATCCTCATCATCAGCAGCAGCATCAGCATCAGCTTCATCGTCATCAGAATCATCCTCATCATCATCAGCAGCAGCATCATCATCAGCATCAGCATCATCATCTGCATCATCATCAGCAGCAGCATCAGCATAAGCATCAACATCAGTATCAGTATCAGTGCTGACATCATCATCATCATCATCATCATCATCATCATAATCATCATCATCATCACCCATCATCATCATCATCAGCATCATCATCATCATCATCATCATCATCATCATCATCATCATCATCGTCATCATCATCAGCATCAGCATCATCATCATCATCATCATCATCATCATCATCATCATCATCATCGTCATCGTCATCGTCATCATCATCATCAGCAGCAGCATCATCATCATCATCACCGTCGTATTCCTCGTGTCGCACTCCTCATCCTCTGTTTCCCCCTCCTGCTTCATCTCTCTGGTTCCTCCTCATCATCATCAGATTCCTCCTCCCACCCCAAAAATTATCCCAGGAGGTCGAGCATGACTCAAGATAGACTCAGACCGACCTCCACGATGCCTCAAGGCAGCCTCAAGATAGCCCAAGAGAACTAAGCATGGCTCAAGTTAGCCCCCGACGGCCTCTAGCTGAGCATGGCTCAAGATAGCCTCCAAGAGGTTTCAAGAAAGCCTCCACACGTGTCTGGATGGGCTGGTAGGGATACGCGAACCGTCAAGACTGCAGATGAAGACAAGAAAAACATATGACAGAGTGTCTGCGCGCACGCACTTCTTCGTCACCTTCACAACACAATCGCCATCGTCATGGCCGGAGGGATCATCGCAGATGTCATCACCACCACATCCACGTCTCCTTAACCAGCACCTTCGCCGTCGTCGTCCATTTTCCTGTCGTCATCATTATCGTCAGTGGCTTCGTCTTTGTCGTTGCCCTCGTCATCGTCGCCACCGCCATCACCATCATCATCATCATCATCATCATCATCATCATCATCATCATCATCATCATCATCATTCATCATCATCATCATCATCATCATCATCATCTTCATCATCATCATCATCATCATCATCATCGTCATCATCATCATCATCATCATCATCATCATCATCATCATCATCGTCGTCACCGATGCCATCACCACCATTCTCACCCGCCCGGCCGAATCATTGATCTTCATGGAAAGGGTAATCGCGTCAGTGCGCCAGTTGAGTTTTGCCAAAAGTTGCGGGTGCGTGTGGCGTGTTTGCCCGAACAGAGAGTAGTCAATTTCATACGTTCTAAATCCATTGCATCGCATACATTGCAACGCGTATAGCGCACGCACATCGAGAGTGCTATAGCCCAATGTTCGGGATCCACGTTGGCAGATCATGGAAGTTTTCCACGTGACCCAGGAATTGGGGGGGGGCCTCATTCGTCTGCGCGTCTACTTTGTCAATGTGTTCGTCTGCATAGACAGTAGCCGAAGTCGCCACTGTAGTTCGCTGTTTTCGCCATCTGGAACAGTGGCACTCCGCTCTGCAATTCAGAGTTCGGTGCCACCTGCAACAGCTTTGCGACACTTGCACGGTGCATGACGGCGTGTGCATGCGGACTTCGGTTGGAACAGGGTCGCGGTGCATCCTGGTACGCCGAAGCGCCTAGCGGGTGCGAGCGCCTTTTCGGTCGACGGGCGTCTCATCTCGTGGAGGCCCACTGACACCATGTGCGTTGTTCGTGATGTGTCCACCCCGGGCCCTGCAACGTTGACGCTGTTGTTCGCCATGCCACGCACAGTCGTACCCCGCAGCCGCGATCACGACTTTAGGTTGCAAGTGCCCCGTTTTTCATCATGTGTTGAGTGGCAGGCACATGCTAACGGCAGCAGGTTGACACTGTGACTTGGTGGTTGTCTACCACCCAGCAAAACGAGGCGAGTAGCGCGCTGGGGCTGCCGTCGCTAGTGCTCTGCGCAGCGGTTAGTGCCAGGTGGAGTTGCGCGGTCTTCTTACATTATGTTACCGCGTGAGTGCAATAGCGATTGTCTGCTCAGTCGACATATGAGAACGGTATGGATTTCTCTGGCATAGGCGATAGTCGTCATGTAAGGCTCGCTCTGTCGCGGCAGTCCACAGGAGTCGACTGCGAGACATGATTGTTCACGCCTTGAGAGAAATCGCACGCGGGATCCTTCGCGTTGCAATGGCCGCCGAACCCGCTTCATTCGTTGCTGAAGAAGGAACAGGCTCCACGCGCGCGGCTAAAGTATTATGTCTAACGAGCCTGACCGTTGATTACGTCTTCGCGTGTGCCTGCATATTTGTCTCATTTGTCCAATTTGTACTGTCCCTCTTTCTTTCTCTCTCACTGTCTTATCTGTGTTTTCCTCTGTCTCTCTCTCTCTCTCTCTCCACTTGTTATTTACATGTGTATCTCTCTCTCTCTCTCTGTCCCTCTCTCTCTCGTTCTCTCTTTCTCTCTCTCTCTCTCTCTTTCTTCCCCCATACCCTACGACGGTGTTCTTGTCATTACTGCAACGCCCCCGCATTACACTCATCATATCCTAGGATAGCTTCTTAATCAGACTCTGACTTGCCTACAGTCAAACTCGGACATAGACGCAAAATTCTTCCGCACTAAGACTTACTCATACTCCGACTCACGCGTCATGCACACTCGGATTCACTCACATACTCATACCCACTCATACGCAGACACACTCACACTACAACGCATTCGCGCTCAGGCCCACTCATACACAGGAAATGGCTCGCTCTCAAAACTCACGCTCACATTCACTCACACTCATACTCATACTCAAATTCACGAACACGCATTCTCATCCAAACTCAGCCCCGGCCGCACGGAGATTCGAACCCACACGCCCAGGCTCACTCATACTCAAAGCCGCTTTCAACGATGCCCGCCGTCTCTCTCGCCGCCGGCTCAGTGCCGGCAGCCGAACTGGCGGAGGCCGCGCCGGCAGCCGCCCGAGCGGCCGCCGCGGTGGGCGAGGGGCCGTCAGCAACAGCAGGGCGCGCGGCCGCCGTGCAGCGCAGGCGGCCCCAGCGCGGGCCGGCCGCCGCGAGAGCAGCGGCCGCCGACGGCCAGCGGGGCGCCTCCGCGGCCGGACCAGCGGGGGGCCCTCGCCGGCGGCAGCCAGGACCAGCGGCGAGCCTAGCGGTCGCCGCCCGCCGCTGGAGGCGCCGCACGGCCGCCCGCGGCGGCCCACCAAGAGACCGAGCCATGGCACCGGGGAGAGGGGCGCGACTCCCCCCGATCGAGGGACGGACGGAGGGACGCTGGCGCATGGCTCCGCGAGGCAAGAGCATTGACCATCCCCGGCACCGCGCAGCCTGCGGACCCGAAGGCGCGCGCCGCGACCAAGGGCAGGACCATGCCGCGGTCATGCGGACGTGACGCGGATATGAGGATGCAGGAGGAGGAGGAGGAGGAGGAGGAGGAGGAGGAGGAGGAGGGGGAGGAGGAGGAGGAGGTGTGAGGGAGAGGACGAGAAGCGAGGAGCCCTGGACATCCTCACAATCTGGCCGCACACGAGAACCCCTGGCGGCTCCTCCTGGGGGTACCCGGATGCCGCGCCTGCTGCGTCGCGGTGATCACGGGGCTCGGAGTCGAAGCAGAGCAGACAGCGACTCCAAACGAGCGCCTCGCTCGGGCGCGAACGTGGACATGTCCCCCTAGCGTCTCCCATTGAGGTGCCCAACTGCTACGCCTGCTCTGCCGCGGTGTGTTGCTTTCGATACGACAGAAGGAAAAGCACGCGGCGACGCGATCTGGGAACACACATAACATGAGGTGCACACCAATCGAATGACGTGGATCTGCAAAACGAGGACAACGTCTCTTGCACTGCACTACCTTTTCGGCAGCGGTCGCCTTGCAACACAACCAGGAATCTGGAGCACACGGCGTCGGACGTCGGGATTACTCAACAAGAGCGCCGAAGTCAGTGGAGCTAAATGCACCAAGCCTGTGAA